GAGGACAGTCAGCAAGCGTGTGAGGTTGTTTGAGACATGGTCAAAGAATGTCCGTGGGGGTGAGCGCCAACAACCACAGAGATCTGTAGGGAAACCATTCCAGGTAAATCGCTGCTTGAGCATATCCTCTACAAAGAGTTCATCCTGACCGCATGTTTAAATCTACAAGTGCTAAACCGCACGGTTCCTTTTTCTTGAGCCATGAAAGTCGGGGATTCACACTCCCCCTGGGTGTCTATTGCACCCACAAACGTAAACGGCCTTCCGGCCTCCAGACCGTGCGGTCTTCACTCCTTGTCCTCGCCAAGCACCACCTTCCCAGCCGCCGCTGCTCTTGCCGTGCATGAGCTCCCCCGCGGCTGAGTCTCCTCTTCTTTGATGTCCTTGCTTGGCTCCGCAGACCCTTCTTCACCCGAACTCTGCCCAGGCGGTTGGCTCTCCGTCCCCACCACCTCGATGGGACCTCCTCGCAAATGCTCATCGGCCCTCCACAGGCTCCCTTGAAGACCCCCAAGAGGTTCACCTCGAGCACGAGCTTGAAGCTCTTCCGACTTCCTTTCCATCTCGCGGTAGCACTCCATCCTCTCCGTCCCCAGCACCGCCCTTGTTGCCCTCACTGGGACCCGACCTCCAGTCCCATCTCGCACATGGCATACCACTACCAGATCGTCCCTCGAGGCCTTTGCCTGAGGTCGGATCGCCTTCAAGGATTTGGGTGCCTGCTTAGGCAAAGTCATGCCCGTCCAGGGCCTAGTTCCAGTCCCTGTCCTGTCCGTCCCCAAGTCCTTGTCTCTTGAGCTGCCGGTAGCTCTGTCAACACCAACACCTTGCCCCTTCTTTCTGTTAGCAACATTGATGTCCACGGAGCCGCCTTCCGCTGTCTCTTTCGGTGGGCTCTTGGCCTCTTCATGCGGTCTTGCCAGTTCTTTATCGGGGTCTTCCACCGGTCTTTTCAATTTCTTCATTCCCACACCGCACGCCTTCTTGGTGAGTTCCCAGATCACTACCACCAAAATGGCAATCACCGTCAGGATAACCTCCAGCGACACCCCTTCCAGTTCCGGCTCCTCCCCATCTTCAGCCTTTGCCACCGCCACCAAACTCAGCATGCCCACGACAGCCTTCAACTTATCCACCGCGAGCCACCCTGCTGCTCCAACCTTCTCGATGACCTTCTCCCCGAACGCCTTCTTGACCTTCTTCCTCTCTCTCACCTCCAAGCCCATTCCTCCTCTGCACTTCTCGAACTGGATCTTTGCCAACGGTTTGGTCAATCCATCCGCCGCCAACAAAGTCCCCGGCAGATGCCTCAACCTCCACTCCTCCTCCTCTATCAGCTCTGCCAACCTTCCAGCCCGACATCTCAAGTGCCTTGACCGCCATGCGCACGCCGGCGTTGTGATAATGCTGATTGCTGCCGCGTTGTCACCCAAGATCATCTTCTTGACCTTTGACCCTTCCAGCAGCTCCACCAGCGTTGCCACCGCCTCTCCGATCGCCGTCGCCTGCACGTAGCCCGTCAATTCTGCCTCTGCTGTAGACAACGTTGTAAAGGCTTGCCTTGTTGATTCCCAAGCAATGATTCCGCCTCCATACAGAACCATCACCCCTTGGATTGATCTTCCACCTCCTGGCGCGAAGCTCACATCCGCCTGTATCTCCAACGTTCCCATGCTCCGAGGGCCTGGAAACTCCGCCTCTTCCTCCCGTGGCTCCATCCTCTTCTGGTAGATGATGCCCACATCGTCCGTGTTCTTCAAATAGCCCAGGATCTGCTTCGCCACGCTGAGTGCCTTCTTCGGGTACTTCGCCACCATTCTTGATGCCTGGCCAACTGCGAACGCCACATCCGGTCGCGTCCTTGTCGACACCCACAGAAGTTCCCCTAGCGCCACTTGTGCTTCTTTCACCTCCTCCGGAGTTCTCTCCTCTTCCGGCTCCTCCGACAGCTCCATCTTCCCCGCCGGGACGTCCACATTCTTCACATCTGGATGTCTCTCCACCAAATCCCGAATGTACGCCGATTGGCCCAGCCAGAAACCACCTTCTCTTTCACAGATCTCCACTCCGCAGAAGACGACCGGCTCCTTTCCATTGACCATTTCCGGAGGCGACGTTTTCCATTCCTGCTGAAGCCGATCCATGAAGCCCTTCATCACCGTGTCCTCCGCCGCGACCAACATGTCGTCAACATACACCACGATGTTTCCCACAATCTTTCTCCCTTCTACCTCCTCGATGGCCCACAGGTTCCCCTCCAGCAAGTCCATCTTGTACTCCTTCCCGCTCACCCGCCATCTGAACTCCTTCATTGTTTCGTCACGATGGCATCCCCAGTCCTTTGGACTAGTGTTCAAGCCGTAGAGCGCTTTGAGGACCAACCACCGCTCATTTGGCTCGGTAATACCAGCCTGTCCAAACACCTTCGGCGGAGTTACTATCAACAGTCTCTGCCTCCGATTCGGCGCTTGGAGAAACGCGGTTTTCACGTCCACGGTCC